TGTCTGTCACCCTGGCACTGGGCAGGCAACATACCATGCAGGACCCTCTATCCCCTTATAAAGAATGCAATCTATTCCCCTAATTATAGAATCCCCTACAACTACCACTTGTCTTTTTACTCCCCTCTGTTGAATGGTCCCCTCTGCCACAGTATCGTTGTCAGCTGGCTCATCCTCCCTACACCCCTGTTCCTCATCCACACAGCAAGCAAGTACTTTGTACCTGTTGGGCAAGGTCAAGAGCTGAGGTTCCTCTGTTTACGAAGCAGGATCCCTCGACCTGCCTCACTCGCAGTCACACCCTGCTGTCTCTGCCCACTGACAGAATTTGTGATACTTACTCTACCAGGTGTGACTGCATCCTGAAACACAGCGTTCAGGTAACTCTCCCCCTCCCAGATGTGCCACAGTGTCCGAAGCTCAGACTCCAGCTCATTAATTCTAATGGTTTGAGGATGCAATCTGAATTTTTAATAGGAAACCGAAACGAGAAAAGAATTAAGAAAAGAACCAAGGATTCTTGGAAGATTGCATCATGTTTTGAAAGCAAGTAACCTGTCACTCATTATAAACACTGTTTACACAGCTGTTGGTTTCAGCAGTAGTTGAAGTGTAATTTGCAGATGAACTGGATCCATTTTGCCCAACTGCACTAGATCCCATAGGCACTACCTCCTTGACCAGTCTCCCATGTGAAATCTTGTCAAAAGCCTTGCCAGAGCCCATGTTGACTAGATCTACTGCACAATGTTCATCCATACGCCTAGCCACCTCTTTGAAAAACTCAATCAAACTTGTCAGAAATGATCTACCCCTGACAAAGCCATGCTGACTATCCAAGATTAATCCTTGCCTCTCGAAATGCAGATTAATTCTTTCCCTCAGAACGTTTTTCAATAGTTTCCGTATCACAGATATTAGACTCACTGATGGATAATTCCCTGGTTTATCCCAAACACCTTTCTTGAATAATTCTACCACATGTCCTCTGGCAACTCTGAGTCCAGAAAGGAATTTGTCAGGGTTCCTGCAATCTCCTCCCTTGCCACCCACAGCAGCCTGGGATAAACCTCATCTGAGCCTGGGGTCTTATCTAATTTTAAGTCTGCTAAAACCACGAATACCTTCCCCATCTCTGCACATCACGAACATATAAAATGATAGGTAAATGGGGAAATAGGGGAAAGAACAAAGGAAAAAACAAGACCTATGATGGGTTAGGGTTAGGCAGGAGTATGGGTTAGGTGTGTGAGACAGGAGTGACTAAGCAACAAAAAGGGTGATGAGGCATAGCAAACTGAGATGGTAATGAGACAAAATAAAAGGGTCTGGAGAAATTATAAAAGGGAATCACAAAATCATCACAACACTATTTCAACATAACACTGGGGAGAGGCATTGGGGCATTTATTTGAAATGGATCTGTTGGGTCTTAAAGAGAATAAGTGCCTAAGTAAAAACGGGAAGTGCTGTTCGTCAAGCATGCATTGAATAAAAGGTCAGAGTGGGAGTGGAATGGAGAAACAAATCGTCAAGTAACCAGAAACTTAGGGTCTAGATGCAGACTAGACAAAGATGGTATGTAGTTATCCAATTTTTATTCTCCTCGGTTTAGTACAGACTGTATTGCAACTACAGAATACAATTTATTCAAAGAAAATCACTGTTACATTTAGAAGAGTGTTTGGGATCCAGGAACTTGCAAAGGGAGAAAGAGACATGTTGCATCGCCTGTGCTTGCAAGAGAAGAGATCATGATTTTGGGGTGATATAGGAGTGGACAAAGTACCACAGGCAGAGCAGAATCATCAGAATGCTCAACAGGGTGAGAAGGAATAAAATGTTTTCTGGTGGCAGCTATGGTGAAGGATGATCATTAAGTGCAGGGGCTGGCAAGGTGGAAGATGAAGACAGGCAGAACTCATTAGGCCGGAAGAGGAAGCAGTATAAGCAGAAGAATGCAAATTCAAACAGACATGGAACACATTGAAATCAATGATTTCAAATTACAACCACTCCATTGATTCCTTTTTTAAGATGGCAACTATTGGTTCTAATTCTGTTCTGCATCATAGTATGTGTCATTTAAATTTCTCTTGTCTTCCACCCTATCAAAGACATTCTCCTTGTCTAATCACCAAGTACCTGCCTCCCAATTTTTTGCTGCCAATGAACTTGCTTAAAGTGTGCAATTTGTAATGTTTCCCAGTTTAGATGAGCCATTACAGACCTGAAACATTCATGCTGTCTGTCTCCATTGGTTGTGCCCAAACCTAATTATTTTAAAAATTTGTTCATGGAATGAGAGTGCCACTGGCTATGCCAGCATTTATTGCCCATCATTAAAAGAGCCAACCACATTGCTGTGGGTCCAGAGTCACAAGGAGGCCAGACCAGGAAAGAATGGCACATTTCCTTCCCTGACCAAAAATCAGCAAATGGACAATGGCTACCATTAGCTTTGTATTCCAGATTTTTATTTTTTATACAAATTTCATTGTCTACCATGGTGGGAACGGAACCCAAACCCCCAGAGCATTAGCCTGGAGTACTGGAATACTAGTCCAGTGACATTATGGTTGCAACACTGCCTCCCCCATCTAACCCCAGCTTTTCAGCTCTCAGCAACTCAAGTATCTTCTTCTGTTCAAAGAACAAAAATGTTGGCAGTTCAAGGTGATAGAATATTCAAATAATATCATTATATTTATTGATATTCAAAAGTTCAAGTTAGCATCTCTACATTCTTGGCTAGTAAAGAACATAAGTTGATTTAAGGAATGTTTTGGAAGCATGGACAAAAGTCACACTAATAGCGTCTTCAACATAAAGTGACTGAAGATAGAGCTGTTCAATGTGGAATAAGGATAAACAATTCTGGAGAAGTTATCCAAAGTTAGGAGAACACACACATGCTAAAAAGGATGGGTTATTTAAATCTTAACAGAAGTATTTGGTCCTCAAAATCTAACTCACGGGTCAGATGAAATTTTAAAATGAATTCTTGTGACATAAGTTATGTCAGCATTTGTTGCCCTTCTCTAGTTGTTCTTGAGAAAGCCATCTTTGTGAACTAACGTAACCTAACTGAAGTAACAGTTTAAACCCGGCAACAATTAACGGAGAGAGCGTGAACCCCAGTTCACACGAAAAAATATGCAGAAATAAAGCCTCAATAAAGACAAAAAGATATGGCTTAGGATCTCAATCATGAGGAATAAGGAATTAGAGAACCATCTACATGTTTTGAGGTTATCAAATAGTCCTGCTCAGCTCAGAATTGCACATGATGACAGCTTTTGGATTAGGTAACAGATAATACCAAAACGTTGACAGCAATCACTGGAGGTTGGAAGAATGAGGGGAAGATTGCATGGAAATTTATAAAATTTTAATCGGACTAGATAGGGTTCATGCAGAAAAATTGCTCCTGATGACTGGGGAGTCCAAGGATATGGCATGGGACATTTAGGACTGAAATGAAGAGAAGCTTCTTCATCCAGGGAATGGTCAGCCTGTGGAATTCTCCACCTTAGAAGCAAGATTACAAGGATTCAAAAAAGAACTTAAAACAGATTAAGAGGAGGCCACAACCCATTGCACATTTGGAAAATCATAATCTAATCAAGCAGAGCCAGCATGGCTTCATGAAGAGGGAACTCATGTCTGACTAATTTATTAGTCTTTCGAGGTATTCTCAACCCGAGCGGATGAGGTGTATTTGGAATTCCAGAAGGTGTTAACTTCTTGTGAGATACCTTGTTTAAGTCTAAGATAAGAGCCTGTAATGTTGGAGGTAGTATATTGGCATGAATAAAGAATTGGCTAGTAGACAAGAAACAGCGAGTGGGGATAAGGGGTTCTTTTTCAGATTGACAACCTGTAAACAGTGGGATTCCATAGAGGTCAGTGCTAGGACTGCAACTGTTTGCAAAACATATATTTTAGTGCAGCCGAATTTGCAGACAACACAAAGATAGATGGAAAGGCAAGTTACAAAGAGGATACAGTTTACAAAGATATCAATACGTTAAGTAAGTAGGCAAAACAATATCAAATGGAGTGTAATATGGGAAAAATGCAAAGATGTCAATTTTAAAATGGAGAACAAAAGACAGAATATTATTTAAATGGAGAAAAACTGCAGAAAGATGTAACACAAAGGGACTTGGCTGTACAATTAAGTACAACTATCTTAGGAATTCCTTGTGGTGCTGCGACAAAGTTTGAGATAAACTATATACAAGAATTTCACATAATTCAGAATTTTACACCACCTGACCTTTTCTCTCAACCATAGTTTGTGGGGAAAAAAAAATCTCCACATGTTCTTTAAAAATAAAAATAAAAATAAAATAACTTCACATTCCATCCAATTACAAGGATGCATAGTGTCTTACCAACAAATATGATAATCTCCTAATTTTTAATTCAGGAACATCTGTTTACAGATCACAGCACAGAAAGAGGCCATAGGCCTATCAAGTCTGCACTCTGAAGAGCATCCTACTAAATCCCTGTAACCCTATAGGGGTAGCAAGGTGGCTCAGTGGTTAGCACTGCTGCCTCACAGCACCAAGGACCCAAGTTCGATTCCACCCTCAGGCGACTGTCTGTGTAAAGATTACACATTCTTCCTGCGTCTACGTGGGTTTAATCCAGCTGCTCTGGTTTCCCCCCACAGTCCAAAGATATGCAGGTTAGGTGGACTAGCCATGCTAAATTGCCCATCATGTCCAGGGGTGTGCAGGCTCAATGGATTAGCCATGGGAAATGCAGGGTTACAGTGACAGGATAAGGCAATGGATCCAGGAGGGATGCTCTTCAGAGAGAGTCATTGTGGATTCGATGGATCACATGGCCTGCTTCCACACTGTAGGGATTCTATGATTCTATGTCTGCTTTCCCTTTCTGCTAGATATTGATTTCTATAGTAATATGCAGAAAACATAGCACTTGAATGATATATTTATTATCTGCAGACTCAATTTCTGACTTACTTTCATTAAATGCATATTCAAATTCATCAAGTGTTTGAGGAAACTTAAGAGGTGGCTCATCTTTTTTCATAAGTTCTTCCAAGTCTATCCTAGACAGTAAATCTGGAATAAAGGACAATAAAACAAACTAAAAATCTTTCACAATATTGTGCAAATGAAACTGGTGTAAACCTTTGATCATACTTGACAATGTTTTAATGGGGATTGGAACAGCCAGATACCCTTCAAATACACAGTTCTAAATACATACGGATTAAGGAAAATGTATGTATGGAGCAAGTTCTGATGCAGTAAAGCATCTCCCAATCCAGAGAAGGTTCACTAGGCTGATAGCAAGTATGAAGGAACTGTCTTACGAAGAGAAGTTGAGTAGATTGGTCTTGCACTCACTAGAATTTACAAGAATAACAAGCAACTGTATTCAAACAAAGAAGATTCTTAGGGGACATGATGCAGTAGAGTTGAAGAGGTTGTTTCTCCTCATGGGAAAGTTGATGACCAGGTGGCATTATCTCAGAATAAGGGATTACACATTTAAAATGCACGAGGAGGACTTTCTTCTCTCTGAGGGTAGTGAATCTGTGTGAGTCTTTATCACACAGGGCTTGAGAGTCCGGGCCATTAAGCATATTCAAAGAGGAGTTAGACAGACTTTTAATCAGTAAAGGATTAGACAGTTGCAGGGAAAAGATAGGAATGTAGAGGTGAGGATTTTCAGATCGCCATGATCCCATTGAATGGGGAAGCAGACTTGATAGGCTGAATAGCCTACTTCTTCTCCCATGTCTTATGGTGTTAACTGAATCAGCTGATTATTCATGATTTTGTAAATACAGCTCCATTTGGCAAAAAAGTCAAAGGGGTAATATTCTCATTACCTACTTATTTAAACTTGAGAGGGAAAAGATCATTGCCAAAGTATTGAGCTACATACAACTCAAAGCAATCTCTCAAAGCTTCTCCATGACAGAGTCCAGCATTACATTTTGATATTCAGTTTCACAATTAATTAGAGAATCATGTGCAGATGTCAAAGTCAAAACTTACATACCCACATATTTAATATTGGAACATTCACAGTTAGCTGCTTACATAACATCGTCCAATGAAAATCTTTATTTCAGTATTTTTCTATGTACGATTAAATTACTCACCATGTTTTACAAAGAACGAGCAAGATTTCCCTCCTCTGCCTTGACAAGGTATTTCTTTAAAATATTTATACCAAGTGAAGAAATTCTTCCACACAAGTTCATTTTCTTAATAGGTTACATCTATGCCTGCTATACATACCAACATGGCTCACTCTGAAGGAATGATCTAGGATGTGTTTCGTATATAGTTTAGTATTTAGAAGAAGTTCTTTCTGAATGTTTTTGAGGCATACCTCATTTAAAAAATAGTCTGAGAAGGAAATGGATCAATTGTGGAACATAGCTGTACATATTTACTCAGTGATGACAGTTCTGTCATCAGTGGGTGATAAAAGCCCTGTCAAAATCATTTATGCTTTTGTAGTTTACTGAATGCAAACTTAAACATTTTGATTCAGAGAGGTTTTTTTTCCCCACATAAAGTAAGATGAGCAAGGAATACAGAACTGTGATTATATTGGAGATTAGTGGATTCTTTTAAGGCAAACTACAGAAGTCTATCAAGTGTAAAATCAAACTTACCTATCTAAACGAAGTACACCGGGTGTCAAACTATTTTGCCAACAATATAATAAGCAGTATTCTCACTAATTTTAGGCTCACCCACAAATCAAAATCCTGGTGAGACCATATGGGAAGGGTTACAGAATAGAAGCATGCAGGCCCAAGTGGACAGCTGTTAGAAACCTATGAAGTGGGTCAACATCATTGACAGAGAGGTCCCAAACGTAGACTGTACAATGGATGCATATTTAAAAAAAAAAATTAGGTAAATAAAAGCAAAACACGGCAGATGATGGAAATCTGAAATAAATACAGAAAATGTTGGAGAAATTCAGTTGGTCTGTGAGCATCTATGGGAGACAGAAAAACAGTTAATGTTTCAAGCCCAATATGACTTGCCTTCAGCAACAGTAGACTTGAAATATTAAGTTTGGATGGATGATGGCCTTATAGTATTATCACCAGATGATTAAACCAGAGGCACAGATAATTTTCTGGTTTCAATTAAAAAAAATCTGGGATTAGGAGTCTAACATTGACCATGAAATTGTTGCCTATTAACAGAAAACGCCATCTGCTTCGCTAATGTCCCTTCAGGAAGTAAATCTACAATCCTTACCTGACCTGGCCTACTCCAGACTCATTTCCCAAGAGTCCAAGGGAGACTAAATGATTGTGGTTAGTGACCCTACAATTTCTAATTGACTCTCAGCTGCTTTCAGAGCAATGTGACAATGCTGTCACTTTAAGAGTTTTGTCCTGGCTTTCTTTGAAGACAGGTTGTATGGCAGAGGTAACGAGCTGGCTAATGATGACCATTTGAGTAAACAGTTTGGGGACGCCTTGGGATTTTTTTAATGCAGCCCGAATGGGTGTGGCCAGTTCTCACAGGTTAGAATTTCTGGAATAACAGAGTGTGGAGCTGGAGGAACACAGCAGGCCAGGTAGCATCAGAGGAGCAGGAAAATTGATGTTTTGGGTCAGGACCCTTCTTCAGAATTTCTGGGTTTTGGTTTTTCAGTAGCATCAGAAGCTATTGGGGTCTCAACAGGGTTGTAAGCTTCAGTGAATGTTTCGTGGCTGCTACGCTCTGAATTTTCTCAATTTTTTTCCCTCCTGGCCTTGAGAACTGCATGCAAGAATCAGTGTCTGAATTTTCCTTTTTTACCAAGGTGTGTGTTTATGGGATGTTACTATATTAGAACAGCTAATTAGTAATAGTTACCGTATCTAGTATTCTATTAAGTTTCCGATAGAGTTGTTATTCTAAATTCCTTTTTCTTTGGTTGTATTTTTACTACACAGTATTTAAAATGTGTTCTGTCTAATGTTGAGTAGTTTGACCAGTTGCCTTACATCTGGAGGAGATACTTCATATTTGCCTTTAAAGATAAGAAAAACTTAGGGTCTACACTACCTTCTTAACATATTTTGAGGCAATCTGGTCTGCTTCATAACAGCAGTTAGAGAAGGGCAATAAATACTGGCCTGGCCAGTGACATCCATATCCTGTGAATAAATAATAAAAAGAATGGTGCCAGACTTGCTGAGTTTCTCCAGCATGTTGTGTTTGTTGAAGAAAATTAAAATCTGGGTGGCAGTTGCAGCATACCCAAAACATGCAAACTTTGGGGGAGGAAATAAACAAATGTAGACAGCTAACTGGTTAATGCAAAATTCCAGAATCTGAAAGAAACACAATGCTTTAACTGTACTACATAATGGCATTCATCCTGCATTTTCTACTCAGTTCTCTGAATTTAATGAATATATGCCAGGCTGGGAAAGACAGATTTTTGGTCTTTCAAGGAATCAAGAAATTTGGAGAATGAGTGGAAAAGTGAAAATGAAGCCCAAGTTCAGCCATGGCTGAATGGCAGAGCATATTTGATGAGCTCAATGATCATCTCTTACTCCCATGTTTTGTGTGTCCCTTTTTTATGCATCCCTATGAAAATATTTCTTCTTTTGATTTAACAAAGTTAGTTAGGTTCAATAAATCACCAAAATAATTAGCTTTCTGATCAAAATGAAGTAGTCTCCACCATTTTAATATGGGATTGATGCTCCCTACAAAGCTCTAAGATTCACCTCTATACCTCCATCATTTAAATGCCCTCTGATCGGTTAACCACAAAGCCATACATTTTCTTAAATCCAAGAAAACGGGACCAATGCGTTCTCCAAAGTCACCAAAGCCACTCAGCCAGTTGACTGGATACCTCAACACAGCATAAAAAGTGTTTTCAAAAACACACCATTCTTTATTTCTCATCATTTTCTCATCTAAATTGAATTATTGTTTCTGGATCAGCTTGAAGTTCTTCAATATTCTCGTTGATTCATTTTTCACATTCTGGAATTTGTAATTTTATTGCAAAGGTAATAAAACTACAATGAAATGCTAAGAAATACTCTATGATCTCTGAACTACTGTTTTATCTCCCTGTGATTAATTTAATAGTCTAGTAATTATACAAATAGACTGGGAAGATGAACATAAACTGCTCCAAAATCCGGAAATTCTCAAGAAAACCTTAAATGTGATTTCCTTCATAGAAGTCACAAGAAAAAAAAAAAAAGAGTCTACCCTGTAACCATCATACTCAATGAAATGGATTGGCTATCCCAACAGTTCTGAAGGATACAGCAAAGTGGATGTGCTCAATCAACATATATCATTCTAAAAAAAGTGGTAAGAGCTGCACACTTAAGTTCAATTTTACATTAACATCTGGAAATGTATTAAATTGATTGCTAACCTTGTTATTTTCAAGTGCTAGGATGTCCATAAACCACTAATCCAGTTGTTAGAAACTTGTATTCTCGATCAATATGCAGGTAGGTTGCTGACCTATTGCCATGTTTATAATAACACTAGCTTGTCACGGTTAATAGCCTTTCATCTGAAATAAGGGGATATTCAACTTTACTACAGCTAAAATGGCTGTGTTTCAATTTAGGCTGTTATTTATTTCTCCCCTCTTCCAAAAGCTAGTTTACAACCAGCATAAGGCTGTACTGATTAAATTATGTTCTGAATATTGATTATGAAACTGGACACAAATGTAGCAAAATATGTGAGGTCATTCATGTGTATCAATACTGAATGAAGTTTGAAAATAGATCTCTTGGGGGATGAAACTTATCTTGGGTAGTATTACGAAGCTGACAGTAATGAATCGGCAGCTTGTTTCATAGTTCACCATTTCACTCACTTTTAATCTGGCTGAATGCAAAATGTATAATTAAGTAAAATCAGACTGAATAAAAGCAAGTGATGCAATCCAGAAATTAGTTTCACAGCTTTTTGTATAATCAGGCTGACTGGCAGAGGTCGTACCTTCAATCTTCCATTTGTTAAACTGGACACTTGAATGGGTAGAATAGTACACAATAAATAGGGCAGGGGTAAGTCATTTGCTCTTTTGAGCCTGCTCCACTATTTAATAAGATTATGGCTGATCTGGTGGTGAATTTAACACCACTTTCCTGCCTGTTCCCCATAATCCTGGACTCCATTGCAAATCCAAAATCTAACTCAGCCTTGAATGTTGTCAACAAAAAAAAAGTGAAATCTCACAGCTGATCTTGGAGACGCCTCATCATCAGAACTACTCACAGCTGGGAATGTCAGGTTTTCAGAGCTTGAAGCAGCTAAGTGTTTGTTTTTCAGACTTATAAAGCTTACAAATCTTAATCGTTATTTCTTTTGTAAATCTGCAATGTTTTGCTGAGATCTGCCTCTTAATCCTATGTTTTATACTAAAAAAACTTTGATTAATTTAGCGCAGAGCACTGTGTATAGGAGTTGGGATGTCATGTTGTGGCTGTACAGGACATTGGTTAGGCCACTTTTGAAATACGTTTTCAATTCTGCTCTCCCTGCTATAGTCTCATTTGCCAGCAATTCGCCCATATCCCTCTAAATATACCCGTCTAGATGCCTTCTAATGTTGTAATTGTACCAGCTTCCATCACCTCCTCTGGCAGCTCATTCCATACACGTACAATCCTCAGTGTGAAAAAGTTGCCCCTTAGGTCCCTTTTCAATCTTTCCCCTCTCACCTTAAACCCATGCCCTCTAGTTTTGGACACCCCCACCCAGGGAAAAGACCTTGGCTATTCAGCCAATCCATGCCCTTCATGATTTTATAAACTACTGTAAGGTCACCCCTCAGCCTCTGATGGTCCAGAGAAAATATCCCCCAGCCTATTCACCTTCTCCCTACAGCTCAAACCCTCCAACCCTGGCAACATCCTTGTAAATCATTTCTGAACCGTTTCAAGTTTCACACCTTTTCTGTAGCAGGGAGACCAGAATCGAACACAATATTCCAAAAGTGAATCACTGAAGTAAACAGACTGGTCTGTAATTGCTGGGGTTATCCTTAAAAACCATTTTTGAACAAGGGCATAATGTTTGCAGCTCTCCACTGGCACTTCCCACGAGTCCAGGGAAGATTGAATGATTGTGGTTAGTGACCCTACAATGTCCAATTACACTTTCTTCAAAAT